TTTAAAAGTACAACTTTCACTTGACACACAACAAGCTGTATCAACGCTTTACAGACCAACTCAATAAATACATAATACATTATTTTCTTAGGGAATTTCATTTATGCAATTCCCTGTACGACTGTGGTGAGTGCATAGAGAAATGAAGAATGAATGGAATACATGAGCTGAATTTGGCCTGTAACATAAAAAAAAAAGGAAAAAAAAAAAAAAAAAAATGTAAATGAGGACAGATAAAAATATTTAAAAAAAAATAATAATAAATAAATAAAAAATAAAAAAAAGAAAAGAAAGAAAGAAAGAAAAAAAAAATACAAGAGCTGAATAAATACGAATACTGGCCAGACCTCCATCATGGAAACTAGCGGCAGATTCATAACTCAAAAAGAAAGTGCTGGGAATGTTGTATGTTGCATGAATCTGAAATGGATCTATCCTAATGGCATCTGTACTTTGTAGACACATGCGCATGCTAGTTGCGCACCTAAAGAAGGGTTTCCATAAAGAACAAAATGAATAATAATAATAATAATAATAATAATAATAATAATAATAATAATGAAAAAAGAAAAATAAAGGGGGGGAAAAAAAAAATCAGCCATGCAGAGTAGTGTCATGGACATATGGAAGGCTGGGTAAACAAGGAAAATGACAATAGCAGTGTGAAATAAAACTGTCTGCATTTGCAGAAAGCACAGAAAAGAGAACTAATTCTTATTACTCCATTGTAACAATAAATCAATGTCTATCCTTTATTACATAATAAATAATTCACAAAAAAAATCTATACTGCAGATATCCTTAAAAATCATTATCCTCCCTCCCCATTCTTCACTCTTTCCAAATCATAAACACATAGATATATACCCTATTACTGTCTCAATATCACTGAGCAGTAGTGTTCCATCTATGTGTACACTACATAAAAAAAGAGAAAAAAAAGAAAAGAAAAAAAATATACACATTCACTACATGGTCAGGCTGATACGCTTAGACAAATATATCATACAATGAAACACATGGAAGCTGCAGCATAACTTTTTTTTTTAACAAATACTTCAGATTCATAGTTGATACACAATATATATACATTTCTTCAAATTGCTTTGGTTAACATCTGTACAGCTTAGAGGCAAGAACAGAACAGATTGATGCACTTGATATTTCAAGTTTAAGACAAAATGTTTATCTTGCTGGCAGTAAATGCATTACAGAAAAACTAAAATTTACTTAATTGTGTCATGTTAAAAAAAAAGAAAAGAAAATTAACAAGAATGAAAGAAAGAACAAAGAATGATTAAAAAAAATGCTGATGAAGCATCAACATTATCAAAAGTAATGAAAAATCACAGCTCCTCAAAATGTGATCACTCGGCAGCAGGTATTTGAGGACCTTTTCCTGAGATTGTACGTTTTACGGTAGCATGTGTTTGTGGCGAGAATTCTGCTGGAGTCATTTCCCTCTTGGGGTAGGGGACTCTCACTCCTGGTGGACACGACTAAGTTTTGAGATGGGCTCCAGGAGTTACTGCTACTGGAGAGGACGTTAGTGGTTGCCACATACTTGAGGGGACCAATGGATGCGTTGTTGTTTACCTCGGAATCCGACCATCTTACCACACACACCCTGTTGGGTCCAAAGGTGGGGCAACCTTTGACTAAATGAGGCCACTTTAATGCCACATACAAGTAGTGTAAATAACTTTCAGTAAGATAAAAATAACTCAAAGGCCGTGAGTCAGTAGAAATGGATTTTGTTATGTGACTCCACAATAAGCCAGTCAAACTTCTGCCTCTGTGATAAACACTAGAAAGAAATGGTAGAGGTAAAGATAACCATCTCTTACATAAAACTATGGCAAACTTGAGGTAAAAAATGAAGTGGACACAAAGAAGAACAGAAGTTACAAAAGATGATGTGAAATACCAATGAATCTAAATGTTCACGTTAGTCCAATTCTCCTCACTGTACAGCTGTTAACCAGACCCCTCAAGGAACAAACTCTCACAGGATACATTTGTACTTGTAACATTTCCTCTATTTCCAATATTATTACTTACAACTACTATTAAGTCTTTTGCAAGAACCAAAAGACTATGAGAAGAATAACCTCTACACTCAACTAAGAATACATTGTAACACTTTGGTGAAGGAAAGTCTTGCAAAAGGTATTTTGCAAATAAAGAAGAGTATGTATTATTTTCCAAAGACAAGAAATAGTTTGTCTAAGAAACTTTGCTCCTGCTATTCTCAAACTGCTGAGGTGCCTTAACCCTGTTGGTGGTGGTAGTAGTGGTAGTGGTGATGCGCAAATGCCGCAACCATCCTTACATCCCCTCAAAGGTCCAGCCCAATTCTCTACAAATATATTTGGCTAGGATTCTACAGGAATCTGTCTTGTGGTCTGAAGGGTAAATTGCCAGAAGGTGTAGTGGGAGGCATCATCCCTAAGGGGTTGAACAGGTTCTGTAATGCGGGAGGAAGGGAGAAGGGGCTCTGTGTAAGGCCAGCTGCTGCTACTGCTGCTGCGGCTGCTGCAGCAGCAGCTGAGGAAGTTTGTGGAAGGTTAAAGGAAGATGAGGTAGCCAAGGGGTCTTGTGGGCTTGGAGTCAAGAAACTAGAGGCATTGGGACTGGGTGTGGATATGGTTGCAGATGAACTGGTGGTGGAAGGGACTGGGGTGATGGTGGCATGTGGCACAGGACTACTACTGCTACTGCTGTTACTGCTGGCTGTGACAGGTGGGGTGCTTCTGGAGGTCACATTGATCACCTGCCGCACATCACTGTGCCCTGAAGCAAAGGAGGTGCTGGAAGATGTAACAGCGGGGGTGGAAACTACAGGGGTTACAGAGATGCCCGCAGGGAGGGGGGAAGGTCCCTGGTTGGGTCTGCGGAGAGGGGGGGAGGGGGATGATGCGGGGCTGTCTAAGCAGATCACTTGGGGACTCACTGACCCAGAGGAAGGAGGAGAGAATGTTGTGCCGCTGCTGCCACCTCCTGCTGGCGTCAGCAATCCTCCGGTGCCATTCAAAGAGCCTGTTTGTGTGGAAGAGATGAAAGGATATTAGGAGGTTGGCTTTTGTTATTCTTTAATTATTCAATGGTCATAAGTATTTATATATGGTCTACAATTAATTCACAAATGATAGAAAAAAAAAGAAAAAGAAAATATACATAAAAAATAAATCATGCATTCTATCATAATTAGTAAAAACTACACTGTTTACTGTACATATTCTGTTTGTGGCAATTGTTAGTGGTTTTAGATTTAAATAAATAAACAAATAGCAGCAAGAAATTGGCACTAAGTCTATAAAAGGCATTTACCATCCAAACAGCAAATTCAAGTCATGCAGGAGGTTGTTAGTAGTCATGCTTAACCTAAAACAAAATCAACCTAACACGCTGTTTAAGAAATTCAAAAACTGAGGGCTTATATAACCGCAACAATAAAAACAAAAGCCATAGCATGCTGCTTTGCTGGGTAACAGCTGCCAGATCCACCATCAACTGAGTCAAAGTCATTATGGACTTCTTAAGAGTGAACAGAGAATATATATATATATTCTTTTTTTATCTTTCAATCTTTCTAATTAATTAAAGTGAAAAAGGCAAAGGAAATTCTCAGAATCTCTAGAATAATCAGAGAATTCTAAAAAGAGAGTTCAAGTGATTACGATAAAAAAAATGAGAAACAGAAAATACTAATGAATTTATTCCAAGTGTGAAAATTCCCTCTTTAAAGACATATGACAAAGGATGAGGTGCCTTGATGAGATACGAATCCCCCTATTCCCTCTGTGGTAAATGACATTCCTGCAGCTGACACCTAACCAACAGATGCAAAGAAACGTCCTGTGTGTGCAGCTGCCCTAGGCTCCCTCTCTCTCTCTCTCTCTCTCTCTCTCTCTCTACCATTCTTCTCCTCTGTCATGGATACTTGGTACTTCAGAACAGACCTATCCTGCCCTAATAATCACTGCTTTAACATCTTCTAAGATCTACCCTAACTTGGTGTGGCATCTCTTAGTACATGGCTTTATGCTAATAATTCGCTCAAAATAAAGATGACAGGTGATGTACCTGAAATTTTCATCAATCAATCATATAGCTGAAGAAAGGGAACAGAACAGCTTCTACAGAAAGACTCAACTTCGATCCCAAGAAACTACTGAAGACACACAAGCAGTGAGCAAAAAAAGATATCAACTTTCTATTCATGTGATTGTTCTTTTCCATTTTTTATATTTTCAATCTATCAAATTCTGATGTGTTCAACTTGAAGAGAGCCACCAGGACACTGAGGAGGAAATCTACTTTGTTTCCTATTCCCAAAGGACAAGATGAGCCACTGACTAAACCCAGAGCATGGCAAATAACACTAAGCCCTAATCTTGATCCTAATCTCTTTCACCTACTACCCCCTCCTAAAGCCCATGACAAGACCGCCTCCTCCACCACTGCTGCTGCCACAGCTGCTGCAGCCTGCTACACACACAGCCCAGATGAACCGAGGGGGATTCCTGCACCTTCTCAGAAGGCATATATATATTGTATGTACATCACCACACTCTCTCCACACCAAGGCACGAGATGAGTACTTACAGGAGAGGGACTTCCTAAAGACGAGGCGCTTCCCAGGGTCAACTTCCCCTACGCACCAAGAATCGTTTGACTTAGTGCCCTCTGTAAGCGCAAAAGTGGTTTGGGTAATTTTACGAACTCCTCGGAGAGCCCAGTCTACTGTTTTTTTGTTTGTTTGTTTGTTTTTTCTACAGCACGTACAAGATATATGACCAGACCAGCAACTTCATCTTTTGCAAACAACAGTTCAGACAAGTGCTGCATGCTTTACTTTGAAGAAATAAATAAAAGAATGAAAGAAACAATGAAAGAAAGAAAGAAAAAAAGAAAAAGAAGAAGTATAAGGAGAAGAAGAAGAAAAAAGAGAAAAACAGAAGAGGATTAACCCTTAGCCGCCGGGTGGCATGTACGTATAGGCCATGGCATGCCTGGACTATATTCCGGGAGGCATGTGCATACATGCCATGGTGCACTAATCCCGTTTTCTGGGGGCATGTTATAGTCATGCCACGCACGCTTGGGAGACAACTTGAGCCCCCGGCAGTGGGGCCCGGGCCACTGTGAATACAACCCGGGAGAGAGGGCTTGTGTATCGGGAAATCACCCGTCGGCATTGGGTTAAAACACAAAAAGAGGAGAGAGAGGGAGAGAGGGAGAAGGAAGGAGGGGGGGGTGGGGGAGAGAGGGAAGGGGGAGAGAGAGAGGGAGGGAGAGAGAGAGAGGGAGGGGAGAGAGAGAGGAGGGGAGAGAGAGAGAGAGAGAGAGAGGAGGGAGAGAGAGAGGGAGGGGAGAGAGAGAGAGAGGAGAGAGAGAGAGAGAGGAGAGAGAGAGAGAGAGAGAGAGGAGGGGAGAGAGAGAGGAGAGGAGAGAGAGAGAGAGAGAGAGAGAGTAAGAGAGAGAGAGAGAGAGTAAGAGAGAGAGAGAGAGTAAGAGAGAGAGAGAGAGTAAGAGAGAGAGAGAGAGTAAGAGAGAGTAGAGAGAGAGAGAGAGAGAGAGAGAGAGAGAGAGAGAGAGAGAGAGAGAGAGAGAGAGAGAGAGAGAGAGAGAGAGTAAACAAAGAACTAAAAAGAAAACCAAATTAAAAGGCAATTCAACACAGCTAATGCAGAGAGAGAGAAAAAGGGCTGATCTCATCACATATGTAATTGGTTAGTATTCATATTTTCTACAAAAGAATCTGCAACTTCAATATCAACTACCCCAATACAACACTCACTTGAGGTTTACCAATTAAAGAAAGGAAGATTTCTGTTCTATTCCAGGATCATGGAATGGAATTTATCAAAAATTAAAACATATATGCCAGGACATGAGGGATTTCTGGAAACACAAGGGGAGGGGGAAATGTTGTAAAAGAAAAAATAAACAAATTAATAAAACAATACCATAATTTACCCCTCCCTAATGTAATGACTGAAGAAATCCATACTACCATAGTAATAATAATAATAATGATTATGATAATGATAATAATAAAAAATTCAAGAATAAAAATAATAATTAATAATAATAATAATAATAACAATAATAATAATAATAATAATAATAATAATAATAATAATAATAAAAAGAAAAGAAAAAAAATCAAGAGAAAAAGAAAAAAAAAAAGCCCCCCCCCCCAAAAAAAAAAAAAAAAAAAAAAAAAAAAATCAAATCAAATCATCATCACATTACAAGAACCTTTTCCACTTTCCATAAATGGTGGATATAGTTTAGCCAAAGCATCACAATGATCAAGTCTTGGAGGAGTTTAAGAAAAGACAGTATGAATATATGGAGCTGTATACATATATATGCACACACACATACCTGTTTGCATTTTGCGTGTCTATGTTAACATAGGCATGTACACATATCTATGTATACATATACACACAAAATGTGAACACATATACATGTGCATATGCATGTACACTTACACATGTATAATAATAGCAAATATTACAAATAACAAAAATAACATTTTTGCAAAGGTTAAATTTGATTTTTGGTTATGAGGGAGGGTAATCACAGCTGGGGATAAAAAATCCATTTACATTACTACAACTATATGAGCCAACATTTTACTCTAAGAGAATCAGTGCAATTGAGGGCAAGGAGAAAAACAATTAACAATTTTTTTCAAATAGTAATCAAATGCAACAAAAAAAATCTATCTACTAAAGGGGGTGATAAGCCATTGCCATACCAGAAGTACCTTACATTTTGAGGCTAAATCAAAAAAAATCTAAATGGGAAACTAATCGTAGAAAGGATCAGGTGAATAAACAAATAAAAATTGAAAATAAAAACTGGATTTCACCAACTAGAGACAAGGTAGCTCTTCTCGACCAATTATTAGAATCCATTCCTTTGCAACTCCAATTTCTTTGAGGAAAGGTTCATCAAATTAATATATATACATATATATATATATATATATATATATATATATATATATATATATATATATATATATATATATATATACATACATATATACACACACACACACATTAAATGAACATCAAAAATATTCCACATATAACACTGCCAAAGGGTGCGACAATTAGCTTAAAGGTAACCGACTGCTTTACATGCTCTCCAAAAGAACTTAAAACAAAGCTAAGGGTATAAAAAATAAAAGGGGGAAAAACATCTATAAATAGACCTATAAAAATAAATTTAAAAAACACACCAAAACACTGCTCAAAAACTATTAGAATAAAAACAACAAACTCCTCCATTCAGCCACAAAATAAACCAATACAAAATTTTATTTAAATTCCAAGATAAAATACACTGTACCATTGAGCAATGCATGAAGAACTTTCTGAAGCTAATTTGCTCAACTTAAAAAGAAAAAAAGAAAGAGAAAAAGAGAGAGAGAGAGAGAGAAAGTATCAACGACAAGAGATTAATAGAGGCATTTAAGCAAAATGTCTAGTTTCCTACTGACCGAAAACCTTGCACCTTCACAATAACTGGGTTTGCCAACACTATTACCTCAAATAACCAGTAGACAGTAAATTCCTTCACTATTATCTTCTCAGATCTTAATCTACCTGTAAATATCATTTACCCTACATAGGAATATCATTCTGAATGTCTGACACTCACACTTATACTTACCCATCATATTAGAAATGGGCATAAAAACACAAAGAAATAAAAACATATCCTATGCAACAAACAACAAAGCAAATCCATTTGTGGGGAAAACACATGCATGCACACGCACGCACGCACGCACGCACGCACGCACGCACGCACGCACGCACGCACACACACACACATGTGTGGAATTCATGTCAAACAAATTGCAAGTAGAGCAAAGAAGGGAAGTACAGGAAAACACACGAATATGCCGAAGGCCCTGATAAAGCAGTAAATGTGAAAAAGCCTTCGGCATATTTGTGTGTTTTTCTGTACTTCCCTTTGTTGTTCTACCTGCACACACACACTAACTAAAAGGATAAAAAATGATTAAAACAAAATAAGAGGAAGAACATGAAGAAGAAAGGAGAATTACACACCTCAGGGGAACATACAAAAAACATAAGATAAAATCAACAAACATCAAAATCCAGTGAGATACAAGTCAAACATACACACGCACATATCCCACGTTGCAAAACAATTATTGCATTTTACTCAGTAAATGTAACTACTTTCTTGTCTTTCTATGCTATATGAAATGTATTCCTATGTCTATATTTTTTCTCTTCCAGATATGTTGACGAAAACAGAAAAAAGAAAAAAGTAGATGTAGGAAGATAAAATAAAGAATAAATAGGGAAGGGAAACAATGCTTTGAACTCCTCTTTATCTATGATCATTGTGTAGAAGAGGTCATAACTTTTGATTTAAACAGCATACTGTATTTAAGTGTTATGTGAATGAAAACAAACACACACACACACACACATATAAATATATATATACATTATATATATATATATATATATATATATATATATATATATATATATATATATATATATATATACATATATATATATAGGTACGTATATATATATAAATATAAATATAAATATAAATAAATATATATATATATATATATATATATATATATATATATATATATATATATATATATATATATATATATATATGTATATATATATGTATATATATATGTATATATATATGTATATATATATGTATATATATATGTATATATATATATGTATATATATATGTATATATATATGTATATATATATGTATATATATATATATGTATATATATGTGTATATATATATGTGTATATATATATGTGTATATATATATGTGTATATATATATGTGTATATATATGTATATATATATGTATATGTAAATGTAAATGTAAATGTTTATGTATATATATGTATATATTAATATGTACACACACACACACACACACACACATATATATATATATATATATATATATATATATATATAAATATATATATATATATATATATATATATATATATATATATAAAAAATATGTATATATATGAATATACAGTAAGTCCCCAACTCATGGACATAATGGGGACCGAGAGGCTGTTCGGAAGTCAATTTGATCGTATGTCGAAAGTCGGGTCTCCATTGCCTTTTTCCCCATTGTTTTAAAGTTTTGTTTACATTAAGAATACCTGTACATAAATCCCAATAAGTACGACATACTTTATACAGTACCTGTTATATGTAATGCTTTTAGTATTATTTGATGGTGATTCATACAACTTTAATGTAGAAACATAATTTATTCAAAAAGAAAATATATTGTAGTAGTGACTGGCAAATTAAAAACTCTACGCTCTGGCAAACAATGGCACCGCGCGGACTTTGAGGGCGTGAGTTCCGTACATCAGGCCGAATCACTGGCTCGCCCCGCTTTGGCCGCCGCCGCACGGCACTTTTCGTCCGGTTTCTTTTCACGCCTAGCAGCGTCACCCGTCGTGAAAGGGTTCATAGTATTTGATGGTGATTTATACAACTTTAAATGTAGAAACATAATTTATTCAAAAAGAAAATATAATGTAGTGGCGACTGGCTGGCGAACCGATTGATAAGATCCATAAAGTTATAGCCTGACATTTCTTGGCA